AGCACCCGGCCCGGCCCGCCCCTCCGCCGCGGCGCTGCTCCTCCGGCCCGCCGGGCGGGCGGCTTCCCTGCCCGGTCGCGACGGCTCCGCTATGGGCCGCCGCTGTGAGGCGTGGGGCCGCCTCGGTGAGGCGGTCGCGCCCTGCGTTTCGTGCCCGCGGCTCGTGTTGGGGTTGCGGGTGACGGGTGCTGACACGGCCGGTGTGAAGGTATCGTCCCTGCTGCCGGTTTGGCTTTTTTCTTCTCTTAATGATGGTTTTTTTTCTTTTGAAGGTGGCTTCTCAGGGTTTTTATGGCCGGATGGGGGATTTTTTTACCTGGTTAAACTACCACTAAGGTGACGCATCTTGCCTGTGCAATTCTTGTTGGTTTTATTGCCTAATTTAAGGGGTTTTGGTAATACACTATTAATGTCACTTCTTAGAGTTGGGGCTGAAGAGCTTTAGCGTGAAGGCTGGATAAAAGGTGAGGTGAGACAGCTTCCAGTACTGGGACACCCACTTAAACCTGTGCGGGGTGGGAAGTGTCGCTGGTTACCAGCCTGTCTGTTTCAGGCATGGCCAGCCTCTATCTGCTTAGAGGCCTCTTTTTCTCCACTAGTGGCCTATTTAGAAAAGGCTGTTATGGGGTATATTCACAGGAATTCAGCTGTTTGAAACTTTCATAGGTAATTTTCATTCTTTTCCTGCTCTTTGGATAAGAAAATGGCTTATGTTTCCTGAGCTATTGGCCTAGTGGTATTTATGAGGTTCGTGTTTGCTGTGGGGAATAGAAGTAGTGTATTGCACTTACAGCGTGTCTGTTTCACACCTACTGTTTTTTCTGGATGCCACTAGTTGCTCTATACTTTGGGGAGACCAGTATTTCCAAATACTTTTGTGCGAGTGGGAGGTGGTATAAAGACAGGACTGTGTAACTCAAATTATGTGGGTGACCTGGACACTGCTGAGTTATCTTACACAATAATCAATGTCTTTCTGAAGTGTGGGCCTTTACCTTATTTTTAATTATAACCTTTTCTGGCAAAGTCAGTGTTTTATTCACATTCTTTTTTATATATATTCCCCCCACCCCCCCCTTTATAGGAACACAGTAAAATATTTGTTATGTTAGAATCAGCTTATAGTGAGGGTCTGATGAATTTGTTCCCTTTCACCTTCCCTCAAATTTGGCTCCCATGTGTATAATAAATAGTTCAGAATTCAAGAAGAGTGAGAGAATATCAAGTTTCTTGAGTTTTATATTATTAGCATATAATGTGACAAAGAATGTTGTTTGGAAAATTAGCCAATAAATAGAATTCTAAGTTCATCTCACTGATGATCTAATCAAAACTGGTGCCCCTTCTCTGAACCAAACTATGTTTCTACTTCCTCTTAGAAGATCCTCTGGGTGTTATGGTGGCTGCTTTTCTAAGGGGCACAGTATAATTTGTTCAGACTTTTCTGTAAAATAGTCTTTGAGGAGATGGGAAAAAAAAAAAATAGGTCAAAGGTAGGTGAATGGCTGGTCTATATTAGACCATGCCTCTCAGAAAATTTACGAGTTGGTCAAAACTCAGTTGGTTTCATTTAGAAGGCTGGTGAGCTATAGCCTTAGGAATTGGTTGCGAGTTGGTATCTGTCCCTTTTGTAGAAGGGAAAAAGTATGTTGTCATCTAGTTGGGGATATTTATATAGGCAGATTAAATGAACTGGTACTTAAACTGTTATATTAGCACCTCCTATATTAATGAAAACTATCTTGCAGTACATTTGTTCTAAGTTTAGAAGAATTACTGATGAAATAATTTTTTTTTTTAAATTTATTGTATTTTATTCTTGGTGACAGTTGCTCGGTTAAATAAGGCCTCCTAAGGATAACATTCTGTAATCTCCAAAGATGACAGCTGTTGCAGGTAATCCAACATTAGTATTCAATATGTTCATTTTATTATCTTTTAGCTAACGGACACAATCACCTGATGTCATTGATTGTTAGTTATATGAATTTAATGTATGCAGAAAAGAGTTTGTGGTGTCTGTGCTATTATACTTCAGATTTGAAGTAAAAGTTCTTCTACTGGGTAACTATTTGTTTCTTAGATAAAAACTAAACTAAAAGCAGGTTGGTCAAGGAAATTACTTGGTTTTCACTATTTTGAAAATATGCTTCATATTTTAAGATACTTTCAACTCTTTCCTGCTGAGTAACTACGGGCATTTAGGAAGACAAATGTCCCCATTTCATGCCATATGTAATGTAGGATATCTTTTTCCATGTTATACATTTTTTGTTTCCATAAGCACATTATCATATCTGCTGTGCTTGGACCAAAGTCTCTTTAATTTTTGGGATGGGAAGAGGAAGACATTTCTTCTTATGCTTTTCTGACCTGGCTCTGAAACAGTGATACACACTTGGCATGCTGTGGTATGTGTCAATTATTGTTTTAACCCTGGGAATTGGACTCTAGAACACAATCCATAATTCACATAGATGTGTATTAGCATATAAAGAGGCAAATTCCCACCAAAGATTCACTTATCTAACCCAAGCTTTTGGGGATTATTTGCTTCAGTTTTTTCAGATGTGAAGAATGGCTTGTGTTTGCAAAAGCATTCATCCTCTGTGTTCAAACCTTGACATTCAGCAGATCCTCTGGCCCTGTATAGGAGGGAGATCTGGGTGCACAAAATGTAATTTTTTTGCTAATGTCCCTATTTCCGTCTTCAGAAGACCTTTACTTCCTGAGATTAATGTTGCTTCTCACATGTCAGTGCTTTCTATTAAAAATGTTCTAATGTTGTGCTCGCCTTGGAATTGGCTGGAGTACCCATCTTCATTGTAACACTTGCAGCTTTAATATCAGGGCAGATGCGATATGCTTTTCACTGCTTAATATGCATCTGCAGAAAAGAAAATAATTTCGAGTGTTTCTCTGGAGAGGCACTGTGTTTGAGAAACTGGGTTGTGATATGTTTTTTTATTTATTAATCAATGCAGGCAATGATAGTATTGCATATCTCTCATATACCATATCGGAGGTTACAACTCACAGTATACCTGTGTATATATGAGCTACTAATGTAAGAAATACATTGTTAAGCCTTGCTAAGTATTTTTACATGGCATATACAATATTAGATGCTATGATCTTATCAGTGGGCCTGTCAGGCTGTCTGTTTCTCTAAATGCTTTTGGTTTGTGTTTAATTTTGATCGTTCTCAATCAACAAATTAAGATCTCATTTAAAATTGGAACTAGCATGTTACTGTAGTCTCTATTCTGTGTTCACCTTGCTTTTCCTTTCAGTGCTAGAGGAGGTACTGGCTTCCATTGAAAATGAGCTGCAAGCGGTGGAGATGCAGATTCAGGAACTTGTGGATAAACAGCAGGAACTCATTCAAAAGAAGATGAGAGTAAAGAGTCTGATAAAGCAGTCCTCAGGAGACTTGGAGGCAGGTGGAAGTAAAGAGATGGAAACCTCAGCCGAGGCATGGAACAAAAAAGGTTTGCAGAGTCAAATTCAAGTATTCTAACATAGAAGTAAACTAATTTAGTAGGGGAAAAATGTGTTCATACAGAGTTTTGTTTGGATAATGATATTGTCCTATTTCATTTTGTTCAGCTGGGTGACCTGCCATCTTAATTACTCAGGGTAGCGTTTGTACTTAACTCCCTGGACATTCCTGAATACTAATCTGAGTTCTTCTGGACAGAATTATCACAAGAATGGCTTGTCATAACTACTTTTATTCTTTTCTTGTTGCAAAGTCACAACTTGATTTGATTTGCCTTAAGAATCCCAGAGTAAATCTGGATATATTGCAATACTTATATTCCCTGTTTATGTTCTAAAAATAATTATTCTGGATCTTTTCAGGATTTGATAATAGCAGTCTTGCACTCTCAAAGTTACTTCTTGCTCTGTTTGTGTTTCTCCTTGCTTCAGTGAGTAGGACATTTGTTGTGTTTGCCATGGGTTATGTAGCCTCACTGCCTTACCAAAGTAATACAAATTAGATGGATGCTGACTGCCAAAAGTAATGTGGAATACATTAGTATGGTAGAGTTAGTCCAAGTGGCAAGTGCCCCGTGGTGGTGTGAGGGCTGCTGTTCTTTTGGAAGTGCTGCCTTTCAAGTTAAACATTGACTAAAGTCCTGGATAGTTGGTGGGTCTTGACCACGTTATGCCTAGCCAAATTCGATTCAGATCTTTTTATTATTATTCCCCCCCTCCCTCTCCTCTTTTACTTCACTTGCAATTTGGAAATGCATTGTTAATTTCTGCCTGTATCCATTGTATATATTCTCTTTTTAGGCTTTTTTAAAAATGAAATTAACTTTGTAGTCTAATCCATATTTGGCTGGGTTTGAGAAAAGTGTTATGCATATGTAAGAATACTGATACTTTATAATTGCAAATTGATGCTATTGAACAAATCGATTTGTTTTGGGTAGCTTTGTGCCTAATTCTCTCTTCCTGTGCTTTGAAAACTAACATCTTTGCAATCAGATGCTGTGTACATGCTGAATAAGAGCAGTAGCTAAATTTGGTCCCAGTATAAAGCTCACTGAAGTCAGTGGGAGGCTTGGTTTCAGAGAGCCTTGGATCTTGTCTGTGCTCTCTGTAAATTAGGAAGCAATGTCACCTCAATTCCCAAAGTTAATTCTTGCATTGCACACAGTGTAGCCTGGAGTTCCCACAGTTTTTCTGCATTTTAATTTTAATAATACAAAAATGGTTAATATATTTCCTGATGCATCTGAAATTTAAGTTTTTGCAGTATTATCTCGTTAAATGATGCAGTCTTTAGCTCTATTGAAGAAAAGAAAAAACCATTATAAGCATGTTGGGGTGGTTATTTTGGGGAAGATTAAACCCCCCCCCCCCCTTTTTTTTTTTTTTTTAATAAATACTTATTATTGCTGGAATATATGGAAAAAATGGCAGCCCTGCCTTCATTTACTGTTTGTAATCACTGCATTTGTATGGGGGAAGCATTTGGGCAACTGTTGTAGGGCTTGGTGTCTGGTTTTATTTATTTTCAGGGTGGGCTTCTCACTTCCATTTAATTTTGGACTAATCAGTTAACTTGATCACAAGCACTTTGAAGTTCCATCTGCTTGTGTGTTTTTCGCATTAGTTCACATTTATGTGCAATAAGAGCCTTTAGTCTGGAGGTGTATTGTGTTTACATTTCAGAGTTCTCAAAGGTCCACCGTAGAAACTGGTTTTTACAGACTCGGGTTGTGTGTAGCTTTTTGTGTGCCATTATTGAATCTTTGAACACTTTCCCAGATCTAAAATTTTGTTGCTTCCAGATTTAGTTATTGTATATGTAAATTGCCCTTCCTTCTTATATTTTAACTTGGTTGTGAAATATGTTTGTTTTTTTCCCCTTAACAGATTTTCCATGGTATGAGAAGATAAAAACTGCACTGCAGGGCAAATTTAAACTCCAGAAGTTTAGGTCCTTGCAACTTGAAACAGTAAATGCTGCAATGGCAGGAAAGGATATATTTCTTGTCATGCCTACAGGTGGTGGAAAGAGCCTTTGCTATCAGTTACCAGCTGTGTGTTCTGAAGGTATGTAAGGGAAGAAAAGGTCACATATAAACAATTGTATTTATTTTCTCCCTTTTATAGTTATTTGGAGAATGAATGTTACACTGGTGTCTAGTACCACAGTATGTGGAAAAAAGAGCAAAGATATAAGAGAAGGATTAACTAAAAATATTTGGTTTGCTCTCTTTATTTTCTCTGAAGGAGCAATAGCAGCTTTAAAATAGATATGCCTTTTAGATGTATTTAGATTTAAATAATTTATCTGTGTTCCTCTCAATATATTATTAAACACTGAAAGAACTTTTAAAAAGTTTGTCACTTCTTTCTTTCTTAATTCAATATACAGACTGTAAATTATTAAAGTATGGATATCTGTTATTTGTCTCTTCCACTCTAAAGCTTTAGCTTCAGGTTATTTGGGAGAGACTTTGCATATTCATTTTTGAAAATAAGTATCCTGTTCTAGTTTCTGAGCTTTCTTTTTGAAAAATAACCCATCAAATTGCATGGAAGTTTGTTTATTTACAAAGACCAAATTTACCAATACCTAGCATTGCTTAGTTGTATGGTAAATTAGCACCTCACAACACAGATGTGAATCCAACTTTCTTTGTTTTGTATATTAGTTCTTATACTCTGTTTGTTGCAGCTCAGTTGTTTGTGGTCTAGATTTTAAGAGAAGGTGCATGTCATGGGCAGTTGATAAGAAGTATCCCTATGTGACCCAGCAGTCACTTATCAGCTCTCTAGGAGGGGAATCTGCTACTGTGTGTGAAGCTTAAGCTCATGTTTGGCAGTTCCTTCAGAACAGGACTGATGCATTAGTAAGAAGTATTAGAGGAGATGTTTGTGACATCTGAACTGTTCAGTTTGCGCAGTGATTGATTGTTACAGGTTTCACACTCGTGATATGTCCTTTGATATCACTTATGGAAGATCAACTCATGGTTTTGGAACAGCTTGGTATTTCTGCAACTTTATTAAATGCCTCAAGCAGTAAGGTATGTTTAACTGCCAATTCTTCACAGTTTTTGTGGTGTATGTACTGGCATCTTGCCTCTGTCTATGTTATTTCTGAATACTGAATGAATGGCACAGTTTTATCAGTTAATGCCATTCTGTCAACAGTATTTTGCCAGCTACGTGCTGTGATATGTGAATAAGTATTTTGCATTCTTGTTTTAATGACAAGAACACGTGTAAACCAACACCTTTCATGGAATAAATAGATTTCATTGGGCTATTTAGAGGATGTGAAGTACCTTTGGCTGGTGTGTGTTGTAGATTTTTACTCAGCTTCTAGACTTAAAAGATGATTGGAGTAGATGACTTTTGTCCACTAGTAACATGTTAAGTTGTGCAGGCTTTTACATATAATTATTTATCTTACTTTAGGATGGTAAGCTGTTTGATCCAGAGGCCAAAAAGCAACTTACTTCCCAGTCTGTTATTAGTCAATTGCTTTTTACAGTGAAATATATTTTCCTGACTAGCAGGAGGCTGTGGTCATTAACTTGAACGTGACGCTGGATTTGATAGGTTAGTGGCTTTATGCAGTGTGCCAAACTTGGAGCCTGCTTTGAGGTAGAGTGCTTTGAAAACTCAGTAATAAAGACTACAGTTGTGTGCAAGAAATTATTTTACTCTTGTAGTACCACAGGCATGTTTGGTACATTATAGTTTATTGGGAAAATACTGATATCACATGATGAAGCAAAGACAAATATTCAGTAGTTTGCTTTTTCAAAGTTCTGTGGCAGATTTTCCAAGTATTAAAATTAACATTTTATATATAATGAACTTCAACAAAGACTTACAGTAGCGGTAAATACTGTGTAACAATTTATCAGACTCTCTTAATTACCCCATATGAATTGTTAATAACCTCTTAAGAATCTTAGCACTAAGCCACTTTAGTGTGTTGTCCTAGTTTGTTAGCCCCTGATTTCTCCTTTTGTTTTGAACAGGAGCATGTGAAGTGGGTTCATACCGAAATGCTAGACAGAAATTCACAACTGAAGCTCATTTACGTGACCCCGGAGAAGATTGCAAAAAGCAAAATGTTCATGTCAAAGCTAGAGAAAGCTTATCAAGCAGGGTGTCTTGCTCGCATTGCTGTAGATGAAGTCCATTGCTGTAGTCAGTGGGGCCATGACTTCAGGCCTGGTATGCGCATTAGAAATCCAGTTTGCAGTGTTATTCAGGCATCAATAAATAATGATTTAGGCCTGAAATAAAGCCAGGTGCTTTCTTCATGTGTTAAGTAAATACTTAGGGTATGGCAAGTACCTGTGTTAGCTCAAGGACTTAAATTAAATTCACAAATTACTATATCCTTATCCAGGAGCTAAGTTCATGCAAATGGGGGCAATTTCAATGTAGATTTTGCTGTCAGTATTCTGAAAAACTCCTAATTAAATTTACTTTAATTGGAGCTTAGTAAAATGAAAGTTTTTGGCTGCTGTCTTTAATACGGACAATACAGTCATCTTTAATCTATGGTTACATGAAAAAGTCATTCTGTACACCACTCCCTAACACTCTGTGTGACAGAGGTAGAGCATTTTGTCAATTTATGAGTTGTATTTTAATTGCTTCTAAAGCAAGTTGAAACAAATGCCCTTGACTTGCAGGGAAAGAAAGTGTGCTTTGTTGGTTTCCTATCTTGTTAGTAGTAGAAGTCTGTTACTTACTGGTTACTGTTTCTTTGCCTTTGAAAGAAAACCTGATTTGAGGCAATAATAACTGTAAAGTCAACCTTTGCAGTTTTGGTAAAAAGTGTTGTCTGAGCAAAGAGCCATGCCAGTTAAACAAGCAATGTGGAATTTGAATAAGTACCTCTGGCTGCGTTTCTGTTCTAAGGCAGAAAATGATTGTCAGCACTGAGCCTTTAAAATCTTTCCTTGGTGTACTATGGTCTATGTATCCAAATTCTACATTGCTTGTTTATCAGCAAAGCTGTGTTTACTGAAAAGCTGTTTGTAAAAACAGACCTGCAAAATAACGTGAATGTTGGTTAATGCGATGCCACTTGCATTTTTCTATCTTTTTAAGACCTTCTCTTTTGATATGTTTTGCCTTCTGAATAGTGGCTGTTTCCATGAAATTCAGTTAGAAGAGAGAGCATCTATTTTATAAGTGCAACCTTCTTTATGAAATAATTTGGATGTATAAATTAGTACTGTAGTAAATTGATCAGTAATAACATTTATTTCAGTATTACCCCATTGAATACTATCTACATTAATATCTTTTTTAACTTTGGATCTATGGTATGAGAAATCTTTTTCTTTCTCCTTTTCATTTTCTTGCTTAGACTACAAGTCTCTTGGTATCTTGAAAAGACAGTTTCCCAATGCTCCCTTGATTGGATTGACAGCAACTGCTACAAATCATGTTTTAAAGGATGCTCAGAAAATTTTGCATGTTCAGAAGTGCATTACCTTTACTGCTTCTTTCAACCGGCCCAATCTTTACTATGAGGTATGTCTTACTACCTGTTTGTTTGACTGCATTGCAGTCATGTTGTCTTCTGTAAGGTAACAGTTAATGAATTTTAGAGTAGATTTTCAATTACACATTTTTCAATTGAGTGATGGTGTTGTTTCATTACTTTGTGTTGCTGAACTTGGTGTCGTCTGCAGAGGAGCTTGGTCTGCTCTGTCTTTGTGAGCAAAGCTTAGCAGACAGGACTCTGTAGAGGGGAGAGGTAGGTAGCAGGCTCACTGCTGCAATCTGTTGAAAAATGTCATATGATTGCAAAAAGTTGTGAATTATTGTGTTGTACTGTATTTTCAGTTTGGTCACAAGTTCTTTTTTTGTTCTTCATGGGAAAACTTGTGGTTTTGTTTTGGTTTGTTTTATCTATGGACTTTTGATATGTAATCTGACTGTAAATGGAAGAATAGTTATGTTTAGTGGAAGAAGCAGAATAATAGGATTGTTTAACAGACTGTGTGCCCACTTGAAGAACTCTCTGGCATGTGTATATTATATTTTTGAGGTTCGTCATAAGCCTTCAAATAATGAAGATTTCATTGAGGACATAGTTAAGGTCATTAATGGAAGATACAAAGGACTCTCAGGTAAAAAGTGTTTAAAAAAAAAAAAAAAAAGAAAAAAGAGCATGCTATTTTTTTATAATCTTTGGCCTTACAGGCATGTTTTCAAGTGATTCTGAAACGTGTAGAGAAATTCTACCTTCACCATACATTAAATATCCAGCATTAGATAGATGTAAGACCTGTACCTTGAATAATTACTCTTTTCGTTCATTAGTGTTTAAATGTCTTTACAGTTTACTTATATCTTCTGAAGTATTGAAATATAACGTTGATGTATATAGAACAATGTTTGTATAGATAATAATAGCAATTTTTAAGATCTGTAAGAACAAGGCTCAAAAAAGGTTATCTGTGTTCTTAAATCACACATGTCATTTAGTATCTATGCATCAGGATACTTAATATCTTTAACACTTCTTTTTCATATTTGATCATAAGATTCATGTATTATTCAGTTCCCAGAATGGGCGTGTGGTGGGGTGAATTGTACTTTCGTAATGAAAGCAGAACCGTAAGAGTTGGACTTTGTGTAATTCAGTAAACTGTGTAGTGCAAATAAAGAGGAGAGCCATATTACAAAGGCAACAGAATCCAATTTTCCAGAGCAGCAGCGTGTCCCTGTCTCTGCTGTGGAACACTGTGGCTGTAACGAGCAGCTCCCCGAGTACAGACTGTGCTAAGATGATCACAAATTGCACAGCTTTGTGTGTAATCCTTGCCTTAGCCCAGACTGACTAATGACAAAAAGCAGATTTATCTGAAACATCAGGTGAGATGTCACAGGTGTCATAAGGAACAGCACCCCTTTACATAAGCATTAATAACCATTGTCCTCCTTGAACATTAATAGAATACTTCCATGATTATGTGGGTTGGCACCCATATTTTCTCTTTAGTCTACAAGTCAAAGCTCATAATTGAAGTTCCCTTCATGGCTACCAATACTGCAGACTGAATAGACACAAAGGTTGTTTACTGGGTTTTATTTATTTATTTTTAAGTTAATAAAACTTTCAAAGCTGTTTTTAAGTATTGGTAATTGTTTGGGTTTTTTAAGACATTACAATAAGGCATCTTTCACTTTATTGCAGGAATTGTTTATTGTTTTTCTCAGAAGGATTCTGAGCAAGTTACTATGAGTTTGCAGAAACTGGGAATCAAGGCAGGGACTTACCATGCAAACATGGATGCTAAATGTAAGACCAAAGTTCATAAAGGATGGGCAGCGAATCAAATCCAGGTGAAGCAGATACTTTTCATAGACTTATGTCTCATTTAAACAAATTGTGTTTTGGTACCTTGATGGCTTCTTAATCTTTTTTCAGGTTGTGGTGGCGACTGTTGCTTTTGGCATGGGAATTGATAAACCTGATGTGAGGTTTGTAATTCATCATTCTATGAGCAAGTCCATGGAGAACTACTACCAAGAGAGTGGACGTGCAGGTATTGTAGGAAATGGCTTTTGCAAAGTTGCCTTTTACATCCATTAAACCAATAAAATTGTACTTTGACTTCAGTCATTTGTGCAGTGTGTCTTGTCTTTGAGACAGGTTCCGAAGTGTGTAATGCCACTCAGCCTCTGTAAAGAGACTTTAAAGCGAATATAAACTAAGTTCGTGATCTCAGGCCTCTGTACTGCAGTGTAGCAAAGAATAACTGGGTACCTAGCCATTTACTCAGCATTTTTTTAATTACTGAATTTTTGTGACATCTGTAGCTTACCAGAATAATTTCATAACATGACGTTGACTGATGGGATGTATGTTACAGAAAGGATTTTTTTGTTTGTTTGTTTGTTTGTTTTTCCTTTGCATAGCAACTGTTTTGTGTGATTTGCTCACATTGTCTCTAGATGATGTCTAATTGCTGTATGAATTTCAGTGGCCACTGAAATACAAGTAGGATGGGGAGTCTGGAGCAGGAAATTTTAAGGATTGATCAATATATAGCAGCACTAAATAGCCGTTACGGCTAAAAAAAAGGGTTTGTGCTGTTTTATTTTGGTGTGGTTTTTTTGACCTTGTGCATTATTACTTTTTCAAAGACAGAGTTGAATCTATGTGGAGGAAAGCTTTATAAGGACCCTGAGGGGCAATTGGTTGAGATTTCAACTATGCCTGTGCAATAGAAATCGGCCTTAGCTGGCCTAAGAAATAGAACAGTCATCAAAGTCTGTGGGAGTTTGCATCTGCTTATGCTAGAACCTGGTTACTTCCAGCTAGTGCTGGAGGTAACAGGAAGTATAAATATTGAAGTGGTGAGATAAGGGCCATATAGGTGCTGAAATAGTTGTTTCACAGTGTTTATTAACTTGGCATAATTAAAGTAAGCTTTTGTGTTTCTTCTTCATAACTCAATTTAAATGAGATTCTTCTGGGGAAGGATTAATTAAGCACTGCTACTCATTTGCCTGAACATAGTACTTAGCTTATGAAACCTTCCTTTTTCCTCTTGACTTCCCATCCAGCTGAAGTAGTTCCTTTCTGTTATATGTTAAACTTTTTGAAAAGTTTAGGGTTTTTAGGCCTTTTCTGCTCTCTGGATCTTGTAAGGATCTTGTAAATAGCAGGAGGACACCCATCAGCACATCATTGGGAGGGGTGGGCAACGGGAAGAAAGAGATGATCTAAGTTCAGCTATAGAAGGCACAGTTGGTTTTAAACAGAATATTTTACTAAATCATACCTAATTCTCTCTTTATTTATTACCATTAATACCTAATAAGGTATTTGAAGCTTACAGTGTCTATTAAACAAATAAGAATTGGGCTTCAAGATGTATTTGGCTAGGATTTTCCAAGAGGTTTTAGGGTGAGAAAATAATGATTTCACTGACTTTCTCTATGATACTAATATTTTATTGTGGTTGTTAAAGGGTCAAAATCTTCATTGTTTTTAGTTTGCTTAATTCTGTAGTTGTAGAAGACTCTTCTAAATCTATTTTATTTCTAGTCTGTATCATGCTATGTTCTGTTGGCTAATATGTTATGCTTGATACTCTTACAGTTATGCACTCTCTCACAGGGGCTGCAGAAGCCCATGCAGAAAAAGTGGAATTTGTACCAGAAATTGCTATGCTTAAAGTAAATATCTTCTAAATTTTTTGTTCATTTTAATGCATTGCAGGTAGAGATGACCAAAAAGCTGATTGCATTTTGTACTATGGCTTTGGAGATATATTCAGAATCAGCTCAATGGTAGTGATGGAAAACGTAGGGCAAGAGAAGCTGTACGATATGGTGTCTTACTGCCAGAATATGAGCAAGTAAGTTACTGTGGTGGTATGGTTGCTTAGTTTTTAAATAGGCTAATTTTGTTGATTTTTTTTTTTTTTTTTTTTTTGGGGATTTTGGAAAAAAAAAAAAAAAAACCCAACCAAAAAAAACCACCCACAAAAGCAACAACAACAAAACAAAAAAACCCCACCACACTACAGAAACGCTACTATTGTAACAGTGTCTTGAGTTTGGAGTTTGTGGTTTGACTGCTCAGTATGTGTACTCTTGCATAAAACTGAGTGTTGGTGTGTTGCTTGCCAGCTTCAGGATAAAGTTCTCGAAGCAGTTATGTTGAGGTGAAATATCTATCAACAAACACTTTGGATTTCAAATTCCATTCAGAGCGAAAACTGGAATACTTTGGTTTTTACTCTAAGGTACCAGTTTTTATTGCCCATACAGGAATCCACATGTTCTTAATGCTTCATCTGCTGTACTGAGCTGTATGGAATACTTCATGGAAAACACTTGTATCTGTGTTGTGGACAACTCATGCATTCAGTATAGCCTTTGTTGGCCTCAGTCTAAGAATTAGTTCATATTCTTATGATTTTTCATTCTGTTGAAATTGCAGATTATACTTTTCTGCTTTAACCGAACTGTTCCTACAGTAGTGTTTACTATTACTGAAAGCTACTAGTTACTCCTGTTAGCATAACTGATAGCAAATACTGTGTCACAGTGTTTGTTTTCTGATTTTTCCTGAGATAATTCTTCATGCTTGTTTTGAGATATGAGCTGACCCAAGGGACCTTCTTTTTGCCACACTCATGATTTATAACACAGGTTTATACATGTATGCTCTATAGTCCCTCTTTGCTCTCTGTTCTTTCAGGTGTCGCCGGGTCCTCATAGCCCATCATTTTGATGAAGTATGGGATTCTGCAAACTGCAACAGAATGTGTGATAACTGCTGTAGAGAGAGCTGTAAGTAAATTGTTTTTATAACCAAGGACAGAGAACATGGAGAAGGTTGGCTTAAAGAAATATCTTTTTTAGACAAACTGTAAGCAACTTCTGTAAAGAGTGCATGTAATACTGCCTGTTTCCAAGGTGCAAATTTTATGAATGTCAGTTTTTAGTGGCTTAGTGTTGCCAAATTCATGATGTTTAGCAGGGTACTTCCTGGTTTGGCTTTTTGCCTGAGGCCCAACACTTCGGTATCTTTCAGGCTCAGCCATTCAGCTGTTCCCAAAAGCTGGGGCAAGGGGGAGATTGGCTTACCTGTTTTAAAAAGATTCTTTTATGTGTCAGGTTTTGTTTCAGGATATCTCTGAGCGTGAAAGCTTTATTTTGAGAAGGAGCCTCTTACTCTCTACGTGGTAAACTGTTCACACTTCAGCTCTGAGAAGGCACAGTTTGCACATGTCCTTTTACAACTTGCCTGGTAAAATCTCTGAGGATTTCAGTGCTGCATGCTTATGAGACCTACCTGTGTCAGGACTGTGCATGACAGTTGTGCAGAACAACTGAGCACACGAATATAGGGTTTTGCTGTGTGTTAGCCCTAACAGCACAATGTCTGTCTAGTGTGTGCTCTTCCTTTGGAATAAAGTTGGGAACATAAGAGGGAAGGTATATGGGCCAGATGTAGAAGGAACTGGGAGATGTGCTGAAACAAGACTTGCTGCATGGTAAAGGAGGATGGTTTCAGTAGGATGTGGTTCTGGGACATAAGCTCTTCTGCTGCTTAGCTTACAAACATCCTGGCCAGTGTTGGGTAGCTAGTTTTAATAAGTCTCTGAAGATGCACAAAGTATTTGTTGCTGCACCTACTAAGTGAGAGCTCTGGTTTAGACACAGGAAATCCCATACAAGGCTAGAAAGCTCTGAAAAGAGTGCTGAGGAAAAGTTGGTCTTGGGCATCTTTCTTGGACACATAAAACCACCTTTTACATTTCTTTGAGTACCAGGTGAATTCTTGTAATATGTGAAAAATAGAATCTCCTCATACCACATATCCATTGCAAAGCATTTGGATAATGTAGTGATCAACACTTGAAAAACTTAGGAACAATTCTGTATTCAAAACTGTTCTCATAACTAGACTTCATTTCCCTGTACATTTTGGGGGAGTAAAGTAGACAAAACAAAGATATTTATTTTCTTTTTTTTCTTCATACAGTTAATTATATCTAGATAATAAAACCGTTTTGCAAAATCATGCAAATAACAATATCTTGCTATCTTCTCATTGGAAATGGGGCTTAGTTGAAATTTATACTGGGATCAGAGGTTGAGAAGAGTATGGAGCTGACTTGTACCCAAGACTTGTAGGAGCCATGTGATGAAATACAGTTGAAATATATCCTGTTTACTGCTGGTTTACCCCTAGGGCCTTTTGATATATAAGCAAGGTCTGAGTACTACCTAGCAGTAGTACTAGTTTTTCAGTACTTAATTCTTAGTATTGGAGGAGGCACTTGAGGTAATTCTGTGCCATGATCTGATCATGCAGTAGAAGTGTGATCATTATGTACTACCTGGATGTGTTAGTGCTTGGAATAATTATTCATGATGAAGCTAATTTGTATAATTAAATTAATACTTCTTTTTCTGTCTTATTTTGTCCATAAGTGTATTGAGAGAAGAAATGTCTTGCTTATATTCTTCAATTCCTCTTTGCTCTCTAATCTTTCCATGATATATATTATGGGTGAGGAAAAGCAATCCAGCTTCAGAGTAATATAGTAGCTACCTTACAAATTTTATGCTTTGTAAATGCTTCTTTGTAATAATTTGTGTGGCTTGTAATGTTAAATACATGTAAAAATGTTTGCAGGATTGGAGTTTTAATAATGAAGTAGAAAGATACATGTAAGTTTGAGTACAAATATATCCCAATTTGACAGACGGAAGGTTACAGTTTTATTTGTTAAGTTATAGTTTAAAAACAAAATAAAAAAAGCATTGCTGTTGTATAGCACATAGATATATATTTATAGATATATGTATCTATAAATATATAAAAGTGCATATATATGTATACACCTAATATATATATATGGATACTATCTAAATAACTATAAATAACTTGCTATTTAAATATTACTTCACTTTTATTTGTAGCATGTGAGAAAATGGATGTAACAGGATACTGCAGGGATCTAATCAAGATACTTGAACAAGCTGAAAACATGAGTGAGAAACTCACACCACTGAAATTAATTGATGCGTGGTCTGGGAAAGGTGTATCAAAATTCAGGGTGGCTGAAGTTACTCCACCAAAGCACCCTCGAGAGGAACTGGAGAGAGTTATTGCCCATTTACTGCTGCAGCAGTATCTGAAGTATGTAAGATGACGACTACTTTTTTTTTTTTAACATCTAGTAGTCATTTTTCTTTACTCTTGTGTTACTTCTATATGGTATTAATGGGTACATTCTGTAGTCTCATTTTTAGCCTTTATTTCAGATGCATTAATGTATTTAAAAAAACTCAAAAGATCACTATATTTCTACTTCAAAATGTTAAAATAGAAGTTGGAGGAATGTTTGAAATGCTCCATGTCTTGCAATTTTAAAAAGCTGGGGTTTTCTGTATTCAGGTTGAACCTTTAAATTTGCAGCAGGCTTCATTTTGGAGAAGTCTGCTGTTTACGTGGAGTCTCGTTTACATTCCATGGATAAGCAAAGCAAATGGGGTTGCCCAGATGAATTCTAAGTCAGGATAGGCTTGCTAATATGGAAAGTGGTACTTAGAAATTTTAAGAAAGCATAGTGAAAATAACAACAGTGCTTCTCTTGTAACCTGGTTGTCTGTGTGGTATGTGTTTTGTCTTTCCATATAGTTTTAGAAGTTCAAGGAATATGTACAAATCAAATATTTAATCCCTTTATTTTTGTCTTAATTTTTTTTGGCATCTGTTTGTATAAGTGACCTCTTATACTCTTAAGAGGATGAGCAGATGACTTATTACATCTTTTTTTCCTCATTTTCCTCCATGTATTCCAACAGATTGTCGTGTGTGTGTGTGTAAAGGTCCACAAACTGAATTATGTTAAGTGTTGACCAGACTCGCTCTAAATTAACGGACTATCCACTTGAATACATAAAGCAGAATCAAGCTGATATTTGGAACATCCATCAGAAGGGTTAATGTGTCCCATTTTCTCCCTGCATGGTCTAGCCTGTCTTTGTCTCCAACCTTCCCTTGTAACACTGATTTAATTTATGCAGGGAAGACTTCAGCTTCACGGCATTCGCTACAATATCCTACCTGAAGATAGGACCAAAAGCACATCTGCTGAAAAACGACGCACATGTCATAACTATAGAAGGGATAACAAACAAGAAAAGTGTTTACAAGGTATTTATATCTGTACTGACTTGCTATATAGATATCTTTTCCACTATAGTTTATTTTAATAGTGTGGTATCTGCTCAATATATTTTTCATAGTAATGCAATCAACAGGATTTAAAATAGACCTCATAAGTATCTTCTCTCTTGTGTGGGAACACTGAAAAAGAAGGAAAACAATGTTAGAATTTTAATAGAACTGTTTATAACTTACAGGACAAAGCATCTCAATCTTCGAATTCAAAAGGAAGCAGAGAAAGTGCTCAGAATATTTCAAAGACTGTGCAGGACTCAGTGGTGAAGAAGGCACAGGAACATAAACGGCCTAACTGTGGTTCGAACTTAAAAGCAAAGAAGCTTAAGCTTCAGGCAGGTGGAGATGACCAACCAGTGGTTCTTGACTGAGTTTCACAGACTACGTTTAGGATCTAATCTTGTTTGCTTCTCCATGGACAACGCAGTGTGTAAGTTCAGTTTGTGTTTTAGTAATGGTACCTTTTGTGCATTTTTTAAATAAAAAACTAACAGGGCAACAAGTATATTTAAAACCCTCAAATCTAGAAAAAGTCTAGTAGTCGAGGGGAAAATGCTTCATATCAAAATAACTGGTGCATTATCTTTTGATACAGCAATGACTACAAAATGTAAATAATTACCATGTTGCCTTTCTAAGTCTTTTGGAAGCATAGTGTGTAGTAACACTACTGCAGAATCAACAAGCTGGAAGGGACTTCCAGAGATCATTTAGTTCAATCTCCTGCTCAAAGCAGGTCCAGTTGGAAGAGGGTGCTGAGGATTGTGTCCAGTTAAGTTTTGACCATCCCCACAACCCCTCTCAATACCTGTTCCAGTGTTTGACCACCTTCATGACCAAAAAAAGGAAAAAGGACGTTTCTTAGAGCTAATTGTTATTTCCCATGTTGCAACTTGTCTGTTGCCTCTTGTCCTACCACTGTGCTCTTCTGAGAAGAGTCTGGCCCCATTGCTGCTATGCTCTTCCATTAGGTAGTTGAAGACAACAGCAAGATCACAACAATCATGCCCTCTCCCCTGGCTTTCTTCTTTTTTTAATCTGGAAGAAATCCAGTTGTCTGTTTCTCCTCACTAAGCCCCTGCTTCTGCTCTCTGAGCACCTAGGCAGCTTGGTAGCCCTCTGCTAGACTCAATCCCGTGTATCAGTATGCAGTGTATCAGTATGTTTCTTTTACTGGGAAGTGCAAAACTTAACCCAGCACTCTAGCTGTAATCTCACAAGTGCTGAATACCAAGAAAGAGTCTTTCCCCCAAATTGCTGGTTACATTCTTGCTAATATAGTCTACTATGCAGTTGTCTGTGCTGCAGAGGCACACTGCTGATTCACGTTCAGCTTGTTACCTACTGGGAACCTGGGTCCTTTTCCGCAAAGCTACTCTGTAACCAGTCTGGCCCTAGCCTGTACTGTTGCATGTTACTCCATCCCAGGTGCAGGACTTAGCTTTTGCCTTTAACTTAGAGGTCCCGGCCAGCCCATATGCCCAGCCTGTTTAGGTCCCTCTGAATAGCAGCCCTGCCCTCCAATGTATCAACAGGTCTCCCAACCTTGGTATCATCTGCAGACTGGCTAGAGCACACTCCATCCCTGGACCTAGGTTGTTAGCGAAGACCCTAAATTGTATTGGCCCCAGTACTGATCTGTGAGTGTTGCCACTAGTAAATGGCCACCAGTTGGACTTCGTGCCACAAATCCCAACTCTTTGAACCAGGTGCTTCAGACAACTTTCTACCTACCTTGTTGTATATTTATCTAGTCTATATCTCACTGATGTTTTTTAGCTGGAAGGAAATTATAGATCATGTCAAAAGCCTTGCTAGAGTCAAGGTATACAACATCCATTGCTACCCCCTTATTCACACAGGCAGTTATCTCAGTCGGTCTAGTTGATCAGGTATGTTTTGCTTCTGGTAGATCTAGCTGGCTGTTCCTGATCACCTCCGTGTGTCTGAAAATGTCTTCTGGGAGTATTTGCTCCTTAAGTTTTCTGGGGGCTGAGGTGAAGCTGATTGGCATGTAACTCCTTAGATCCTCCTTTTTGAAGATGGGTGAGATATTTGCCTTTTCCCAGTCATCAGGAACCTCTCTGAGTCTCCAAGTCCTTTCAGAAATTATACCAGTCTTGCACTGATGTCTGCTAGCTTCCTCAGCATCCCTCAGTGCAGCCCATTCAGTCCTGTGGATTTGTGTACGGCCAATTGGCCTAAGTGATCTGTAACTCCACCTTCCTCTGCTGCTTTACTCCCACGGATTGTTAGGCTTGGGGACCTGGGAGGTCTGAGGGAAAACCTTGCTAGTGAAAATGAGGCAAAAAATGGGTTGAGTACCTCAGTCTTTTCCATGTCCTGTGTCACTAGTTCCCCTACCCCTTTGACCAGTGGGACCATACTTCCGTTACCCCTCCTTTTGCTGCTAAGGTACTTAAAGAAGCTCTTCTTACTGCTTTTTGCATCCTGTGCTAGTTTCCACCTCCAGCTGAGCTCCTCCATTTCTAACTCCTTCCCTGCATGCTCAGGCAATGTCTCTATTTGTTCTGGGTACCTTGTACCTTCTGCCTCCCTTCTTGTGTTTGAGCTAGCTGAGGAGTTCTCTGTTGACCTGTGCTGGCCTTCTGCCACCCTTGCTTGACCTTCTGCACATAGGAATAGACTATTTGTGTTTTTAAGGAGGTTGTGGTTTGGAAATCAAGCAGCTCTCCTGAGCCCCTTATGCCTTCCAGGGCAGTCTCCCTGTGATCCTGACAAGCAGATCCCTGAACAAGCTGAAATCTGCTCTTCTGTGAGGTCCAGGGTAGTGATTCTACTATATCTTCCTCACTTCTCTGTCAAGTTTAAAATTCTGAATCACACAGTCACTAAGCAACATCTGGGATCTGGGCACCTAGTAAGAAACAAACCTTGTCAATGTCTCCAAGTCAGGTTGGCAATGAGGGCCTCTGACCCCCACAGGAGGGATTCTCTGGTAACTCTCATCTTCCTTTTCTTCATTGTGTGAACATTTGGCTCAGGGTCAGCTAGTGTTGATGCATCCCTTGGTGGAGTTCATCATCCTTGTCCTTCTCAGGGCACCGTACCCACTCTGTAATAACAGAACTGCAGGTGGAAAAGGAGTCCTTGCGTGTTGCTGGAAACAAGAGGTTTCCAGCCTTCCCTCCTGTGGGAGTCTCCATCCACTGCTCCTGTGAGGGTAGTCTCAAGGTTTTCCCTCCTTTGCAGCACAGGACTTGGGTGGTCCTTAGCTTTGCAGCATCTCTTTGAAGACCCTGTCACCTCCTGTTCCTCCTGGCTGCTGCACAGGCAGCTCACCCCCTCCTGCAGCTCCTTCACCTGGCAACTTGGCCCTGCAACCAGAGGACAGCTCCCACCAGTGAGGCTGCTGTTGCCAGCCCCAGGGAGGGACATCAGGCATCCGGAGAGCTGGGCTGCTGCAGGACCCTTCCTCTGGAGCCATGGGTGGGTCAAAGCCTCTGCTGTGCCAGGGGTGGTTGTTCCAGCCCACGTGGATGTCCCCATCACTGTAGTTTTGAGCAGAGAGATGTGGCCTGTTTCTGCAATACTTACACCTACTGCAGCATATTTGAGTACTTGAGTGTACTTAATCGAAGAATTTCAACAGGGCATTGTTGCAACATTGCACTACTTCTGACTTGTAGAGATTTTTGTGAAATATTATATGTATTTATCCCTTTAAAATATGTCTGTTGCTCTTAGAACTGGATTTCTCTAGCTTTTTATTCAAATACAAAATTACCACTTATGTGCTTTTCAGAAGTACCTAAATTTATGTTTAAAAACAAGACAACTCTTGATATCAGCTCTTCCCTTTGTAAAAGTTATACTTTATTTGGGAAATATAGAAAAAATGCCACTCAAGAAATACTTAGTGCTCTCTTCTCTTTTCCCCTTCTTCCCCTGTTGAATTGGCTTATATTCAAACTACAGATCTGTATTCTAATTAGCACTGAGTCTTGGTCATCCTAAGAAATATTCTTCTGTTCTATAAGCACTAGAACATGACTGCACTGAAAGTTGCATACTTAAAGCCCTAAATGTGGGCTACATTAAACTTAAATCTTTCCATTTCTGAATTCTAGTCTCTTAACTTTGCTACTCTACCTATTCATTTGCTTATGTTCCTGTTTGTGGAGATGAGAAAGCAACTATAGGAGAGTATCACTGCTGGCCTGGGGCTTAAACCAGTGCATCTCCACCATTTCAAAGAGCAACCTGTCTCTTTTGACTTGCCTGTGATTCCTTTCACATAACGTCTTGGTGTGTCAAGGTAAGAGCAAGCCAGTGCTTACTGCTGCAAATGTTCTTACCTCATCCCACAAAGCTGAGAGGCTGATGGCAATGAAACACCTGTCTGGGTGAACACTGAGTGTGTTTCTCCATAATACAGATATTCAATGCAAGCTTAGTCAAAACTGTAATAGTTGAGAGAAGAAAGATGATAAAAATCACTCAGGATTACAAAGTAAGAGTAGAGCAGAAGTTGTTTTTAAGATGTTTCACTAGTGGGAATTTGGCAATTCAGAAATTATGGTCGAATTTTAATTTTGAGGTTTAGAATTAGATTGAAACTGGTACTTTTCTGCCTTTCTAGCAAAAAAAAAAAATATTCGAAGCTGAACACTGTCAGGACCTGAGATTGAACATGGGAAGACCTTAGTGTCCTAGGTGCAAAGGGATAGACGATAGAAAGAATGCTTGAGCTATTACATTGGTAAGTTTGGAAAAACATGAGCTGCTACTGCAATCCTAGCGTTTGGTACCCCAATAAGGCCTTTTGCTGCTACTGAGTGGTCCTTTCCATGCCCCTCAGGGTTCTGGATTTCCCCTCTAAATTTTTCTAAACTAGAAGATGATGTATATTGAGCCCCTAATTCAAGGACTGTAAAATGCTGCTGGGAGAAATTCAGTCACCAGCAACTGACCCTTATTAACTCCTTTGAGACTGATCTCAACCTAGAACCACGTGACCTCCCTTCTCTCACATGTACTTCAAGAAGTTGCTAGAACACTACTGCCATCTTAATATCTACATTTGACTAATTATATATAAGGAAAAGCTTCATAATAATGGCACATTTTTATACAGTAAGTAGACTTGAGGAAAGTAAGTGATACTCTTTTCCAAATAAGGAGCAAACCACCTGGCTTAGCACTGTTCCACATTCAGACAACACAATCACAGAACAGCCCAACTAGGAAGGGACCTTGAAAGATGTGGCCCAACGTCTTGTGGGAAAGGGAGCCTAGACGAGATTGTCAGCACGCTGTCCAGTTGTGTCTCAACACCCTCTGTGATTGTTCTCACTGTAAAAACTTTCTTCCTTATGTTGAAATAAACCTGAAAGAATGCTTGAAGAGTTCAGAACAGCTGATGTTTTTCAGTCCAGGCATGTGTCAGTGTATGTTAAAAGCTTCAGTTCTTTTGCAATGGAGGGCTTAGTATAAGCTTTTTTGCATTCCTACTTTTCCCAGTCAAGAAGCAGTTAAGAGTTATATAATCAATATCCTCTGAAATTGGTTATTTAAAGTGCATCAACATTGTTTTATTTGCTCAATCCTACCTTCTGTATTGTGTAAATGAAGTGCCATGAAGTCTTTTTCTTTCCATGCCTAACCCAACCTGTAATGTAGGACACCACATCCTGCTAGCTGAACTGCAGCCATTCTACACCAAGGGTCACAATCTCTTTCTTTCCTCAGCAGTCTCTATGGACTGAAGAAAATCTTCAGCTACAGAACTTTTCTGCCTCCCATTTCAGCAGGAAGAGTACTTAACTGTATGTGAAGTAGAAATATATACCTGTTGACTTCCTCTGATGAACATCAGTGTTTCCAGAAACAAGTAA